AACGGCGTCCCGGCCCTTCACTTCCTTCTCATTCCGGTCATATGGGAGGGCGCGTGTTCTTCCAGGCGGGCTGTCAGCCCCCTTATCCTGCAATACGTGAAACGAGAAGAAGCCATAGCCGGACCGCACTCATGGCTGGCTAGCTAGGCTTTCTCTTCGAGCCCTTGGGAGGCTCGGCAGGCCTTCTACATGTAGGCGAGCGGCCGTGGCCTCCCTCCAGAGGGGCCAGAAGGCTTGCCGAGCGGAGGGCGGACTCGGGTCCTTGCTTTCGTTTGGAGGCCCGAGAGCGCGCGCGCGCTGCCTCACACGAGGTTTAAATACTGTAGCAGCTTCGGAAGTTTCTCACGGGCGACTTGTCTGAACTGGTTGCCGGTTGTGACTGACGTGTTGAGTTGGGCCGAGTCCCTGTTCGACATACATCAACAACAACAACACCCAGAGTTACTTCTTGAACCTCAGTTCCTTTAAAAACAGCACCGGCACGTTTCATTACTTTGGATGCTTTTAATGCCTTTAATTGGTCTTAAAGAGTTTTTATAGTGGGGTGGATTTTGTACTTGACTTTATAGTCTTTTTACTTGTTTTTCTTCTTTTATGAAGATTTTAAGCTGCCTAGAGCGCTGTTTTCTCGCAGGAAGGTGAGGTATACATGTAAATAAACAAATAAACGGCCTTGTGTAAACAACTTATTTGAGTGGAAGGAGCTGATGAAAATAGCTCTTATTGATGAAGAATACTTTTGGAAGTGAGGAGGACAGGGAAGTCATAGTTGGCTTTTCTTGGTGCCAGGAGGCAAACAGGAATTTTAGGGATGTTTCTCAGCTACAGTACTTTATTTTATTTATTTGGGATAGCAGGGAGGCTGCTGCTTTGGTACATATTGTCCTGAACGCGCAGTCTCATTTTGGAAGCTAAGCAGGGTCAGGGCTTTGGTATATATTGTCCTGAATGCGCAGTCGCATTTTGGAAGCTAAGCAGGATCAGGCCCGGTTAGTATTTGGAGGTTGTGGTGGGGATTACCTGCAAATACAAATCTATATTGTCCTGAATGCGCAGTCGCATTTTGGAAGCTAAGCAGGATCAGGCCCGGTTAGTATTTGGAGGTTGTGGTGGGGATTACCTGCAAATACAAATCTCTCTATGTAGCCTTGGAAAGATTCTGTCTGGTACCATAAAGAGTGGCTGCCAGTCAGAGCTGACAACATAGATGTAGCAAAGAGGTAACTTAGTATAAGAAAGCTTCCTATCTTCCTGTTCTCAGTGGCAGCAACAAAAAAAGTTAGTTCCCAGTTAGTATTTGGAGGTGGTGGTGGGGATTACCTGCAAATACAAATCTCTCTATGTAGCCTTGGAAAGATTCTGTCTGGTACCATAAAGAGTGGCTGCCAGTCAGAGCTGACAACATAGATGTAGCAAAGAGGTAACTTAGTATAAGAAAGCTTCCTATCTTCCTGTTCTCAGTGGCAGCAACAAAAAAAGTTAGTTTAAAGATACATTTCTATCATTTATTTTCCATGCTTTTCTCCCTCATTCTGGGTAAAGTTCCATGCACGCTTAGGTAGCCTTTTTGTATGGCTCTGTTCCTCCAGCAAATGCACTATCCTGAGCTGAAGCAAATGCACAGCTGGGTAATCAAATACTGAAATAATTGAAAGTGACGGTAGCTTTAGTCGTTTTCCTTTTGGTCACGGTGCGTCTCATTAATCACGTGTGTGTATGTGTGTTCATCGCAATTCTTATGTGTGTGTGGAGCTGTTTCATTTTAAGGTCACCCTTCAATTTGTGGAAATTATAATTTAAAGCTATTTATAGAGCTTTGTGATTGCCTGTAATAACTAATATGCAGAAGGGGAACGAGAGGGGGAGAAAAGGAAAAGCCCTTCTCTGTAACAGAGGAATAAATATGTAACAGCTGTGTCTGCTTTAACTTGATTAAAGGCACTTAAAAAAGGGTAAACATAAGACTGACTCTGGACAAAGGCGCAGAAGCGAGCCTGCTATCTGTTTTATTGTAAAACTCTTCACAGGCGTAACTCCAGCTCCTCGGGAGCCCTGGATTTTCTGTGTTCAAAGTTTACTTTGCTGTTTGTCTTGAGTGGGGTCAGTGTTGTAGTGAATAATTTATAGGCAGCATGAATGAGCTCATTAGTCACCTTTTCAGAGTTTAAATGAGTTTGGTGGTTGTCATTACATGGGCCTTCTGTTCAGCCGCACGGGCAAAATGACAGTTTGGCAGTTGGCGTGCTTGTAGCAGGGAAGGCCGCCTCTTTTCAGAGCTGGGTTTGCTTTTGTGTGCTATTCAAACCCCCCATTCTCTTGCCCAGCGCTAGTCCAGTTGCTCTCCAGCTTTAGATGGCAAGGAGGTGATAGCTGGTATAGGCAAACTGGACAGAGTTTGCGATCGTTTCTGGGATTCTCCAAAATGGAGCTTCCACAAGCTCTGGAATCATGAGGGGTCTTTACACCCTCTTGCTGCTTTCCCATTCTATATCTGGGTTACTCATCTTCTTCTAAAAACTCTCCTCTTTTAAAGAGAAAGAATCCTGCTTTAGTAGGATTTAGTAGTAAACTTGATCTGGGGATGGATCCTTACTTAGCCAAAACCGTACCATTGACACATATGAGGGAAATATCAGTACCTTTGGGAAAGTTTCAGGCTTTGTAAAAGCACAAAAAGTCTTTAGAGAGAAAACAACTACAGGGACACCCACTGAGCTAGGCAGGCTCATGAGACATGCAATCCAGCCAAGGAAGATGAAAGAAAGCTATGGTAGAGGGAGAGTGTCATGGATAAGGGTATGGCCAGCCAGTGGGGCAAAACCATGAGCAGGAGTACTTCACACTGCAACATTTTCTTCTTCTTTGTGACCTCTCTGAATCACACCCTGGGTGATCTGGGCCTGCGCGGAGCCTCATCGGAAGATTCTAGGCCTGTGCAAAGCCTCATTGGAAGATTCTAGAGCTTCTGCGGTAGCAAAGAACATATTAGAATATGCCCCTCCCCACCCATATAAGTACCTTGGCACCAAGCTTCCCTTTCAGTTTCTTTCAACCACCGCGTTGAGAGCCTCATATTTCTGCTTCTGTTAGTAAAAGAAAAAGAGAGCTTATTCTTGATTCCTTCCTGTTTTCAATCTTTTAAACTGTTAGATCAAACTCTTTATCATCAGAGATTTTTCCTTTCTCTTCGCCCAGCCTCTGGTCACAGCACCTCCCCCTCCAATCATCAGTTTTTCTCCTCATTTATTTTCTCCTATTCATGACCCCTTTGGTCCCAGTTAAGTACTGTGGTGTCTGTGATAATAAGATCCCACTTTCAGATGGACACGCTAAGTGCCCTTTCTGTTTGGGAGAACAAACTTCCTCCTGTACCCATTGCAAAAATTTTAAGTGCAGAGTTCTTCGATCTTGCCTCGAGGCTAAAACTCCAACTTCGGGAACAATGCTTACAACCAGTTCAAATGGCCCAACCTCCCTGTAGGGCCCCTTCCCAAACCAAAGCAATGGAAAAAGCCATTATTGAATCATCGAAACAACATCCATCAGCTACACTAGCTCATTCCAATTCTCCATCTGCATCATCTAAGACCTCGAAGACACACAAATCGAAACCCTCCATACCAAAGTCATCAACTTGAAAAACAACTTCTAAACGTCATAGACCTACTGAAGCTGCTCCAGCTCCGGAGCCTGTTCCTTCTAAATGAGCTAAACACTCTAAGCCTACAGACATCCCACCAGAACCACAACTCTCTGAATCAGTTTCGGTTGGATCTCCCTCAGATGACAGACTTCTGTCTCATCCACCCTGTTCTCAGTCTCCATAATGGGATGATAGAGTTGACCACATCACCGAAAGGTAACTATACCTCAACCTGCTCCCCTCTTGGTATCGAAAAAACCTCGGATAGTCAAACAGATTTCAGCCACACGTGAGGCTTTTGGCCACATGTGAGCCTTTTGCAGCCCCAGCTCCCAATACTTTCCTACTACAATAGATGACAGAAATCACTCTTTACTCCAGCATCAATTTATTCTACTGCTATGCCATCATATCAGCAACCTCCGTTTCAACATAACAGAGACACAGACTCTGATATTGACGATCCTCGATATTCATCCTGGTCTGTGGACACTCGCTCCATTCTGTTACATCAGCACCATTCCCATCCTCCGGTAAATCCAAGTCATCGACCCTGGCACCGTTATGACACCGAGCTCAACACCGAGGTCCATCCCTACCAATCGAAGACCGTTGACACTCAACCACTTTTGATGTTTACGATCCTTAACATTGACAGTTGTCCATGGACATGCCGCCTCCATCTTTTCCGACTCATAACCAGCAATACTATGAGACTCAGCCTCTCGACACCGAAGTCAATCGACAGTCCGTCAACTTCAGATGCGACCTTGATGGCTCTGACCATGGATCTCGGCCGCAGACTCCATCAATGTTACTTACCTCTCTAGAGTCAGACATTGTCGATAC